GTGGATATATGCTATAGAAAGGTAATTCAAGAATTATCACACCAAGGAGGAGAGGAAGGCGCATCTGGTTTCTTTCTACTTTGAGGGTGATGCACTGCAGTGGTTGAAGTAAATGGAGAGGTTCTGCATGCAGAAGCAGAGATGTTGATTACCTTACTCTAATTCAAGGAGGAGCTAAGGTATCAATTTGAGAGATATTAGGGTGGACGTGGACCACAGAATAGTTGGACAAGCTAAGGTAGACCAGAACAATTGTTGAGTACCGATCAGAGTTCCTGAAGTTGGAAAATATGTGGAAGGGAATACCAGAGGAGACTCTGGTGGGTCTGTGTCTTGCAGGTTTGTGTCCGGAGCTAGCAATGCCACTAATGGCGTGACTAGGGCCACGACTCTCACCTAGAGGGTTCGTCATAATGACATCAACACAGATGGAGCAGAAGTGCAGAGATGGTCGTTGTTTCAACTGTGATGAGAGGTACATAGTCGACTAGGAATGACAATGGGGCAGGTCTGGGGCGGGTTTCTTGGTATCCAGGCCCGCCCCGTGGCAGGTCGGGTAATTTATCACGGGTCGTAGATCTGGGCAGGTCGACCCAATGAGTATGCAATTCATATGAAAAACATTAGAAATATTCATTATTTTTATTAGAAGACCAAGAAAACAAACAATATTATGATAAATGTAGTTAAATTATTAGAGAACTTGAGGTTTTCAGTAATTTACAACTTTATTATAGCTAAATTATAATGTAATAAAAGAAAAATTCTAAGTAATTTGACTAAGATTACATGTAATTTAAGCAAGAACGGGTTCAGAATGGGGCGGGTCAGGGCAGGTCGGGTCGATGACAGTACCCATACCCGCTCCGCCCCAAAATAGATCAAACAAGTCGGGTAAAATGGGTAAGGTTGAAATTGCCATCCCTAAGTAGGGGTGGTAATCGGTCGGTATCGGTTAAACCGGTTACTGTTTGACCGATTACCCGTATACCGGAATTTCCAATACTGCTGCCGTTTGCCAATACCGAGTATATTTTGGTAAACCGGTTACTGATTGGGACAGTATCGGTTTTTGTGTCGGTTTCCCGATTTACCGCAAAAACCTCTTCGACTTCCAATCCTCTAACAATCACGACATCATCCTCACCTCAACCTCTAGGCCTGCAACCATGATGGCGGAGATGATAATCTCCCTACTCTTACATATGTGTATCCAAATCAAGATTTGTTGCAATATTTGCATGGTGGATTTGGGGGTGGGGGGGGGGATTTTTTGGGCTGAAGTCGATGGCGGAGTTCTGGAAGAGTTGAAGATGAAGGAGATAGATTTGGGCATTTGGCATTCCATCGTCGCCGTCTGCAGAGAGAAAAATTGGGGAGGTAAATCGCAGTCAATCGGGGAGATAGATCTGACATCGGAGTCACTGCCATCATTGTTGACATTCGTCTCTAGCTCCGTCGTCAATCCGTGCTCCCGCCATTGTTGCATGTCATCACCGTGTTCCTAATTGCTGTCTGAGCGAGGCAAATCAGGCAATGAGAGCAGAGAGCTAGAGTCACCGGATCTGCATTTGCGTTCGAGAGGGAGAGAGAAGCGTTGGATGGGCTTCTTGTTCTCCACAACGGTAGAGGTAATGGCGGCAGATGATAGAGTATCTGGGACGGGTGTCGGCACGGAGGCGGTTGGTGTAGGCAGGCAAGCAAGGGAAGGAGATGCTTCCATGGCGAGATCACCTCTCGTGGCATTGCTTCCAATTGAGAGAGAAGAGAAAGAGCGGGAAAGGAGAGGAAGAGAATAGATTAGAGAGAAGGTCTGAAGGCGGTGAGTGAGGCAGGCAAGCAGGGGAAGCGAGTTAATTTGGTTTGGCTCGGTATTCTCGGTATACCGGGAAATTGACGGTTAGAAACCGGATATATCTCGGTATATCGATAGCTGAAATTTTGCTACCGTGTACCGGTACCGACGGTTAACGGTTTAACCGGATACCAGCGGTTACTGCTCCAGTATCTGATTAAATCGTTAACCGGAAAACCGGTTACCACCCCTATCCCTAAGTCGAGCACCAGTGTGCAAATGACCATCTGATACTGCCGGCGGGAAATCTGGAGGACTAGGTGGAGGAACTTGCAGCAGAGGAAGGGAAGGAAAATAAGGTGGGAGGGAGATCTACTAGAGGGCAAGGTTGGTCTCGAGGAGGGTGAATTGATAGAATACTCGTTTTGAGTACTTTTGCTATTTGGACCTGTTGGTTGGTTTGAGGAAGGTGGATTGATAGAAACCAAGTTTTTAGTACTTTTGCCATTTGGATCTATTTTTATATAATATGTAATTAGTGAGATTTTTCTCATCAAGCAATTACAAAACAATAATGCTTTAATTTTAGTCTCTCTCTCTCTCTTTATTTTCTCTACCCTACCGAAATTCCCCTCTTTCCCTTCCCATTTGAGTCGTCGACCATCCCTCCTCCCTTCTTCTTCTTCTTCTTCTTCTTTACTTCATCGAATTCCTTCCTACGATCTCTAATCTTAATCTCAGTCTCCAATCTCTTGTAAAAGGTCAATTTTTATTATCCCTAATTCTCAAACCCTCGACAGAGTCGTCTACATCATGATTTCTATCAGCCCTCCTTAACATAGTTGGTGGTGTTCTATGTTCTCACCAACTATATAGAAACTGATCGCATTACCAACACACTACATTCAAATTATGGAGACTTAAAATATTTATCAATTCTCGCTCGCAAACCTTGGAGAGAGAGGGAGGGAGGGGGATATGGTACAAACTTTGGGCTTGCTGTTTTATGGAATGTGTACAAAGATGAAGATGAATGGGCTTGCATTAGGAGTGAGTCTTTTAAGAGGTTTTTGTTTATCCATAAAAAATCAGCTTGTATCATATCGATTAATTACTAGAGAGGTAATGGATTTATGAAGCCAGCTTAATATAATAATTTAAAAGAGCTAGCTGGGCCTTATTGAGTTGGGTTTTTGGGCATAAGTGACCGAATTCCCTCTCCCTGGACTAGCTGCGCCTCCATAATCGGTGCCGCCTGCCTGCCTCTCCATTCTAACAATCCCGGTGGTATGAAATTTGGCTCCCAAAAATTAAGTCTGGAAACAAGGCGGCAAAACGGGGTGCCAAACGACAGGGTACCAAGCCAACAAAATAGGCTTGGTAGACTGAGGTCAAAATAGGCTTTGTAGGCAAGCAACATGGTACCAAGCCGACGAGGGATGCTTGGTACCCAACATATGAAAATTGGCTTAGTATGGAGACAACATGGTACAAAGCCGGCAAGGCAGGCTTGGTGGCGAGACATGAAAATTGGCCAAGTATGGAGTCAAGAGGGTACCAAGACAGGCAAGACAACCTTGGTACCAAGACACCAAAGGGGTAACAAGCTGACAAGGTAGGCTTGGCATGGTTGGTATCAATGGACGAAATTTAGCTAAGTATGGAATCCCATGGGTAGGGGGGCCATAGCAGCAGGGTGCCATACCATCCATAGCAATAGGGGGCCAAACAACAGGGTACCTAGCCGACGAAAGAGGCTTGGTAGGCTACAGGGTACTAAGCCGACAAGGAATGTCTGGTACCCAAACATGAAAATTGGTTAAGTATGGAGCTAACAGGGGACCAAGACGGCAAGACATGCTTGATATCAAGTAATCAAACCTCCCACAAGCGAAGTATAGAGATCAAATTGGCAGGGTACCAACCCTATGAGGTGACAAGGTGGTCAGATGAGATGGCAACCTGATTGGGCACCAAGCAGCCATGGACCATCCTCATAGCCTCAAGATTAAGTATGAAATCTTAGGACTTGATGTGGACTTGGTATAGAGCCCCTTAAGGGGCCATATGGAGACTAAGTCCCAAGACGGGCTTGGTAGAACCCCTAACGGGGTACCAAATCGGTAGAGCGGCAAGGTGCCAACTTGATTAGATTCAAAAAAGTTAAGTATGGAGACCAATCCAGTAAGGCTGGCTTGGTAGCAGGGTCCGACATGATTGGCTTGGTATCATGAATATCAAGTCGTAGAGGTAAAGACTTCGTCATGGAGTCACAGAACACCAACCTCATCCAGTCAAGACAAGACAACAAGACTCAACACCAACCCTACCCCTACCTGACTTTGAGGCCATCAAGTACCGACCAGTCCCAAGACAATGGGGGTGAAGACCAAGACAACAATTACCAATTGGCCACCAAGGTAACGACAAGGGGTCCCTAAGGTGGTTGGAGCATTCGACTCGTTGGCGGTTATCGAGATGAGGTAAGGAGTCCCGAGGTGGTTGGAGCGACAAGTCAGCTAGAAGTTACCAAGGTGGTTAAGTAGGTAGTTACACCCCATGAAATGAATACGAGAAAGGAGTTCCACAACCAAACATTTGACACACAATGTCAAACTTTTATATTTTCTCTACAAATTAGCCATAGCCTTAGCTTTCGGAGCTCTCACTGAACCTCCATAGGAGTAGGTGTAATTAACGTAGCTTGTTTCCAAAAAAACATAAAAAAACATCAAACATCCTCGTTCGAACATTGTTCGAAAAGGTGTGAACCGTGTAATTTGTCGTTGTTCATTAAGTCAAAAATATATTTATTGAGTTCAAATACTAGACTTTCCTCGCCGGGAAACAGTTACATACTTGAGCCTCTTATACTCTCTAAGTAAGCTCGAATAATCGTTCACAAAAATCCACCAGATCGACATTTAGGTCCACAAACATCAAACCGGGCCTACACCTAGTGGACCATTCAGATTAGTCACAGATTTCATCCAATCTAATTATCTAAGCTTTTGCCATTGGAGTTAGTGAGTGGTTAAAGCTAAGCAAAGTAGCAAACCCTTCATTCATGACTCTTCATCCTTCTTGCCAGGGAAATCACAACCGGTTAAATTAATATCCTACACCTCCTTGATTAACCATGATTATGTAATGAGCACAAGGCGGAGACCCGAGAGGTAGTAAAACAAATAGAAAAAGAAGAACTCTTTGATTGAATACACAAGGCATGGGGGAGTTTGGAGAACAAAATTGAAAATAAAAGGAAGCAAGAAAACAACAGAAAAAAGCACATGGCCTACAGATCGATATACTACTAGTTTACAAAACTCGAAGAACGTACAACTATATTACAGCCCACTTGATACGTCAAAAAAAGAGGAAGAAAAGAAACAGCAAAACATGGAGCCCGTCCATCCATCGAAGCTTTCTCGAACAAAACATCTGTAATGTAACCTCTTCTCTCTAGATCGCGCGCGCATATGACCAGAGTTAAGGTTGTTATGGGACAGGGTAGGACTTGTTACGACACATGCATTTATAAGCCATGGGGCATGTCTCTGCTTCCTCCAAGGAAGCGCACACAAAGCTCACCATCACCAGCCGACATGGGTAGCACGACCCACACGCGTGCGAGCAATCGGGCAGGCTCGACCCTGCTATCTGGACCGTGTCTGGTCTCCTCTCCGTTCTGTAGTAACTCATTGCTTCTTCCACTTTCTTACTATTAGCCCCATCTCTTGCTGCCTGGCTCGTAGAATGATGGTGGTCTGTTTCATTTGAACAAAAAGCACATTACTATGTGAAATATGAGAGCTAACATAGGATAGCATAGTTTAAAATCGAGGCCGAATTGGTTCGTGAAAGTAGAGTACTTACGTGGTCTGGTCGTGATGTGCCTTCCCGAGACGAAATGTGGAGGAAGAAGTGAAAGGGAAAGAAGTAGGAAGCAAAATGTGCAGTAGCCTTTCATCTCTCTATGTTTAGCTGTTGGTGTGTTAGTACACAAGAGGGTTTGGGGTTAGGATTGAGAGCTCTTTGATGATGGGTTTGAGAAGGGTAGTGAAGAACTTTTGTATTGCTTTTTATATGTGTAATTGGGAGAAGAAATGGGAGGCAGAATTGAAGCAAATCACAGGCAAGTTGGTGGTTACTGGTAAAGGATCACAAGAAAACAGAGGTGGCTGCAGGGTGGGCTTAATTAGTGAGAAAACAGAGGTGGGTCGGTTCGATTGATCTCTAGGTAGCTCACAAGAGTCAGGGGATGGAGGGTTTTGATTTTGGTCTCATGAAAAGAGGTGGTGAGGGTTTTAGTATTTAGCCAGCTGGGAAGCTTAGAGAGAGAGAGAGAGAGGGCAAATGAGTTTGAAAAAACTGCCAGAGGGAGTAGCAAGCAAGCAATATGTTCAAGTGCTTCTTTTACGTGATTTTTCTGACTGTGGTTGCTTTAAGTGGCCAATGCAGGGGGAAGGGTTGACCGCCATTAATGCAATAGGGAGGGAGGGAAAAGGATTGAGTTCAAATTTATTTTGGGTGTTGGAAGAAGAAGGAAGGTAAGCTAGCTAGGTTGGTCGTGGTGGTTCTTTGAAGTGTTGCTGTAAAGGGTAAAGGCGGTAATAAATTAGGGAGTGAATATTTAATGTGATTGTCATCAATGCGAGCTCATCAGCCAGTATTATATGCTCGCACTAATAACTCTTCTGTACGTTGGAAACTTTGCATTTGGCTGAATTCCTTCATAACAGGGTAAAAAAGAAAGAGAAGCAGAAGAAGGATGAGAAAGGTGTCGAGTTTACACCTGGGTTGAAGGAAGGGTGGTTTAGAAGTTGCGATTGTTAAATCGATATATTAGATGTATAATATTATACATGTATTCATGAATTTGATGCATTGTAAAATACAGTGTTTGATATGTGTGATGTATATGTCACATCAGCTAAGAACTGGAATAAAATAATATCAACTAAACTATCTCAACAATTTTTGCTAAAAATTGAGATATAACAATCACTAATTTTGAGTGATAGCTTGTTTCACATCACAGAAACAAAGCATTTATTGTGTTTGCTAAAAAAAATACAAAAAACGATGCATGAGTGAATAGCTATGTATGTTAGAGAGTGGTATAAGATCCAGCAGAACCTTCTCCCAACAACTCGAGTTATTGGGATCAACTGGTTCATGACATGGTATCAGAGCTGGTTTGGCCAAATGGTCGTGTGTTCGAATCTCCACGACCCCCAATATTAACAATTGATTAAAGCACATGGTATGGTGGGCCTGTGCAAACTTCAAGCCCATGGGTTGGCTTTCGTTTGAGGGGGCGTGTTAGAGAGTGGTATAAGATCCAGCAGAACCTTCTCCCAACAACTCGAGTTATTGGGATCAACTGGTTCATGACAATGTAGAGTGTTTAGAGTACCTCTCTTTACTTCTCTTCGAAATCCATGAGTGGGTAATATTCATCGTCAATAGTGAATAGCCACATATCCTTTGTGTTCATCCTCGAGATCTAACTCGCCACACCCATCCCTACACCTCCATATAGTGTTACGAGACGAGCTATCATGACAATTTGACATTTATTGGACTCGTATATTTTAGTAGTTTATTTAGTTAAGTTTGTATTTCTTATTGCTTGAGATATTATTATTGTTTATTTGTCTTAGGATTCGGATTTCCTTTTGATATTTGTTTAGGAGTATTTCTAGTGTCCTTGTGGGATACTTTGTCATATTTTGGGTAGAAAAAGGATAGAGATGGCCGAACCATGGGTGGGAATGAGAAAGAATTTTGGGATTTTCTATGCATATAAATATATACTTGTTCTCTAGTTTAATAATAAGAAGATTGTAACCAAATATTTAGTTATTGTCTTTCTTTTATTGTATTTTCTTTTGAATTATCGTGCTATTTTCGATGAGGTTTTTATAAGCCGTTCCACGAAAAAACATCTCGTAACAACTTATACTGGTTTCAGAATGGCGAGAAAGCAAGCGAAGACAAGGGCAACAACGGAGAGCGAGGTCGATCCCGACCTTGTTTTTTCTCGCATGCAGGCCCTAAATGAGAGGGTTGTGGGCCAAAACGGTTGGCTGGAGCAGAACGGAGAATGGTTGGAGGCGATGGACTACAAGGTCGATGCACGCGTCGAAACTATCGACCGCAAGATTGACGATGCCGCCAAACAAGATGTTGTGACGGCAACACTTACGCAAGCTTCCATCCATGACCGGTTTATGCGAGTAGAAGGAACCATGAGCGATATCATTTGACAATTTGGTGAACTCCTCTCGTGGTTTCACAAGGACTCCGGAAGCTCGCAATGAATTCTAAAGAAGACCGGGGAGCGCGCCTCGGTGGTGGAGAAGATGAAGGGTCTGCTTGTGGAGGACGCCAACACGTTGACCCTAAGGTTATAAGCGGCGTCGGTGGGGTTGAAGCAACAATATGGAATCAGAGGGATATGGTGCGCCGGTCGGAGGCATCGCGATGAGACCAGAATGGGGTTCCTTCGCACTAAAGGCAGTGGGTATGAAAAACGAGGGCAGGGTGAACGTCAACGGTGGTATCGGGCTGAACAGGGAGAGGACGCCGACAAAGATTTCTTTCCCTCGAGGTTTTCAATTAGTTGAACCCATTCCGGTTAGCTTCGGTCTTCCGTAGGAGATGATGCCACGAGCCCTAGGTCAGGAAGAGCAATCGTGTTATGGCGACCCGACATGGGCCAGTAGTCCATCGGGCTAGGCAAGGCGGTGACTCACACAAAACACCACACTAGAAATCCCCTCTAGAGCCCAAGTTTTTAAACTCTAGAGGGGTACAACATATGGCAAGTAAGTTTTAATTATCAACCCAGGCCGATCCATGTACCCCTACTTCAATTGCTTAGGTTGTTATCTAGCAAGCAACTTTTGGGTTTACAACTAATGGAACTACAAAGTAAACAAGAAAAGAATAGTAAATAAAGGAAAATTCTAACTAAGGGAGCTTCACCCAAGAGTTGCTTCCCCCCTAACTAGCTACCATGACTTGTTGGATTGAATGGACTCGTGTGGTGTAGGTGGTTGTGAACCGCAAGGGTGAGCAACTACTGATCGATTTGTCACAGAATCAATTCACTAGCGATCGATTTGTCACGAGATCGATCCACTCACCATGTCTAGGGGAACCGCTAGGAGAAGCAACTAGTTATCCATTTGTCACGGGATGGATACACTAGAAATCGATTTGTCACGGAATCGATCCTCTGACTCAGTCTCTAGGGGTTGTCTAGGTCTCTCCCTCAAACCTGAGTTTGAGCGGGTTAATCACAACCAACCTAGATGCAAACTTGAGTCAAGGGGGATGCTCATCTCTAACCTAGACAGTAGGCACAAAGTGCCCAGAAAAACCAAGCTTGTCAAGCCTACCTAAAAAGGTGTGGTTTCCCTCTAATCTAGGTTAGACAAGCACACAAGATTTGGAAAGCGCAACTAAGCACAATCAGCTTGAAAACACCTCTAATACTCAAATTGATGCGAACCGGGTAGTAAATACTCCGTTTAATACACGTATATGTACCCGTACGTACTTTATCCGTTTAAAACTTCCGTATCCGTATTATTGTCAAGCCGTTTCATTTTTCCCCGTTCATTTCATGGTTCCCGTACTAAACACGTATAAAACCCGTATAACACGTTTATTATCCGTATTTTACGAATTAAATTGTTAACTTTACTATTATTTATATATTTATTTATTTTTAAAATGATTAATTTTATATATTTATGACTATTAACGTACTATTAAACGTAATTTTAGCTTAAAGATGAAGTATAATGCCCGTACGTATCTTTTACGTAACTTTCCCGTACCGTATTTTACTAACTATGGCGAACCCATACAAAATCATTCAATCTAAACAAGTAACTACAAAGTATTAGTTAGAGATCTACAACACCCAAGAGAAAAGAGTGAGTTTCTAGAGAGAGAAGAGAGGGATTACAAATTTGAGCTCAAGATCTTCTTCTTCTTCTTCTAGCCTTGAATCCTTGTCATCAAGATCCACCCAAGCCTTCAATGATGCTCCAAGACCACTCTAGCACTCTCTCTCTCTCTCTCTCACTAAAACTCCCCTTTGGTGTTGTTGGGCAAACCCTAGAGAAGGAATTGAATTTCTCTCCAAAAACCAGCTCCCCTTTATCTCTCCCCGCTGATGTCTTCATATTTGCCCGAGAGTGACCAGTTCACGGACGAGTTGGCCAGTTCACGGCCGTGAACACCTAAACTCGTCCGTGAACTCAGTGTCGTCTCCAAAATGCACCACTTCGCTTTTGGTGTTCACGGTCATTGGCCCTAGTTCACGGTCTTAGCGACCGTGAACTCCCTTGGCGTCAGTAACCTCTGAAACCTCGTTGGATTGCTCGATGTTCACGGTTTGTGGTCCAAGTTCACGGTCTTAGGATACCATGTGATAGACCGTTAGTTACACATGTTTTTACCCCTGCTCTTACTCCGTTTGAGGTATTGATTCTCGTGTTTTAGGCCGATTTCACGCTAGGTTGTGCTTGTTTATGATATTTCAGGTCCTAGTACGTGAATGGAGGCTTGGGAGCGAGTTTGAGGTCGATTGGACGAGGATCGGACGCATGGCGAGGTTCTGAGGAAGCCGCACGGGCACACCCACAACCCGCACGGCCGTGCATGTGAGCAAGATGGCCGTGCGGAATTCTGCGAGAGCACGCACGGGCAGACCATGAATACGCACGGCCGTGCAACATGCAGCCCAGGCCGTGCGCTTTTTTGCCGAGGCCACGCACGGGCAACCCCTGAAACTCGCACGGCCGTGCAACGTGCAACCCTGGCCGTGCGAGATGGCTGAAGGTCGATTAATTGATACGCCGCGTTTTGAGCCGCACGGCCAGAATGGTGATATGCACGGCCGTGCACCCTGGTCGTGCGAGTCGGGAAAGTCTGGTTTTTAAGCGGATTCCGAGCCAAACAGAGGGGGATTCGAGTTTTGGAGAGACAGAACGATTCCTAGAGAGAGAAAGCGACGAACAAGAGTCTCCAAGTGCTCTAGCTTGATCTTCAACGCC